GGCTGCACGACACTAGTGCTACAACAGCAACAACTCTTACCGACAGGAGTGGTACGATATCACTTCCGCTGTCAATACTTAGGCACGACATTAGTGCTACAACAGCAACAACTCCTTCCGACAGGAGTGGTACGATATTACTTCCGCTGTCAATACTTAGGCACGACATTAATGCTACAACAGCAACAACTCTTACCCACAGGAGTGGTATGATATTACTTCCGCTATCAATACTTAGGCACGACATTAGCGCTACAAAAGCAATAACTCTTACCGACGGGGGCGGTGCGATATTACTTCCGCTGTCAATACTTAGGCAGGACTTTAGTGCTACAAGAGCAACAACTCTTACCGACAGGAGTGGTACGATATTTCTTCCGCTGTCAATACTTAGGTACGACATTAGTGCTACAAGAGCAACAACTCCTACCGACAGGAGTGGTACGATATTGCTTTCGCCGTCAATAATTAGGCACAACATTGTCACTACATTAAAAACTTAGGCTTGTCATTGCTTCTACGGCAAACATTTATACAACTATTTCTTACGTAGGACGTTGCTTCTACTGCAAAACCGCATATGCGGCGAAGTGCTACATGACAAAACGTATAGTCAAATCATTACTTCCACTGCAAAACATATAGTCATTGCTTATATGCAACTTTTCTTCCACTACGAAGAATTATACACAAAGTTAATATTAATGCAAATATTTTCCCGCATCATTAGTGCTACACGACAAAACTCATGCTTCACAACTAATGCCCATCATTCCTCTATTACAGAAACTTATACAGTCATATGTTATGCACGACATTACTTTTACTGCAAAGATTCGACGCGACCTAAGTGCTACAGCAGATTTGTGGTCAAGCCTTTGCTGTAGACATAATGACTGGTATATGTTTTTGTAGCGTAAATTTTGTCGCGTGGTACGAGTTTTGCAGTAGTTGCAGTAGTAGCAGAGAGAGTTTTTGCAGTAGAAGTAGTGCCGCGTACAAGTAAAGCCTATAAAATGGTGTACTGTTTAAGCACTGGTCAGTATGAGTTTTGCAGTACAAGTTTTGTCGTGTAGCACTCACAACGTGCATGAGTTTTTACCGCGGAATTAATGTCGCGTATGTTTGACTGTTTGCGCTTTTAACATATATAGCAGCGCGTACAAGTTTTTGAAGCATACATTTTGTCGTGTAGCACTTGCGTCGTGTTTGAATCTTTACAGTAGAAGTAATCTCGCGTGTAAGTTGAGCCTGGATGAGTTTTTTTTTTGCAGCAGATGTAAAGTCGCGCATAACTGATGTCAGGGCACTCCTTTCGAAAGGCGGTTTTGCCGTAGCAATAATGTGACACCGCACACAGCCCGGCCGATGACCGGTGCGGTCAGGAGTGCAGCGGCCGCCTCCGGTGCGGTCAGGAGGGTGGCGGCCGTCTCCAGCGCGGGAGGGTGGCGGCCGTCTCCTGCGCGGTCAGGAGGGTGGCGGCCGCCTCCGGTGCGGTCAGGAGGGTGGCGGCCGCCTCCGGTGCGGTCAGGAGGGTGGCGGCCGTCTCCTGCGCGGTCAGGAGGGTGGCGGCCGTCTCCTGCGCGGTCAGGAGGGTGGCGGCCGCCTCCGGTGCGGTCAGGAGGGTGGCGGCCGTCTCTGGTGCGGTCAGGAGGGTGGCGGCCGTCTCCGGTGCGGTCAGAAGGGCGGCGGCCGTCTCCTGCGCGGTCAGGAGGGTGGTGGCCGTCTCCTGCGCGGTCAGGAGGGTGGCGGCCGTCTCCGGTGCGGTCAGGAGGGTGGCGGCCGTCTCCTGCGCGGTCAGGAGGGTGGCGGCCGTCTCTGGTGCGGTCAGGAGGGTGGCGGCCGTCTCCTGCGCGGTCAGGAGGGTGGCGGCCGTCTCCTGCGCGGTCAGGAGGGTGGCGGCCGTCTCCGGTGCGGTCAGGAGGGTGGCGGCCGTCTCCTGCGCGGTCAGGAGGGTGGCGGCCGTCTCCTGCGCGGTCAGGAGGGTGGCGGCCGTCTCCGGTGCGGTCAGGAGGGTGGCGGCCGTCTCCTGCGCGGTCAGGAGGGTGGCGGCCGTCTCCGGTGCGGTCAGGAGGGTGGCGGCCGTCTCCGGTGCGGTCAGGAGGGTGGCGGCCGTCTCCTGCGCGGTCAGGAGGGTGGCGGCCGTCTCCGGTGCGGTCAGGAGGGTGGCGGCCGTCTCCGGTGCGGTCAGGAGGGTGGCGGCCGTCTCCGGTGCGGTCAGAAGGGCGGCGGCCGTCTCCGGTGCGGTCAGGAGGGCGACCTTTCAGCCAGTGCACGGGTCCCAGCCCCACACGCGGCTGACTGTTGATTTGTCGAAGCAGGCGGCACCGGCGCAGCTGCTCCAGGCGTCCGGCACGAACGCCTCTGTGCCCCCCTGCCCCCGTCGCCGTGTCACGACGCAGACCACTGCTGCAGCCGGGGCGCCAGGGTCGCGTTTCCCATCGTCAAACGCCGTCCATCAGTCGGAACCTATGAGGTAAACGTCCTATGAGGTAAATGCGTCACAACGGTTCTTACGGCTTGGAGGATGGTTGCTTGTAGTGGGCACGTGAGCGTTTGCAACGTCATAGGTATCAACTCAGGTAAGTACTTTTTAAATGGGGAACGTGGCTCTCGTCACTGGTAAGCAATAATCAGGCATCGGTCAGCCCCAGTTCGGCGTCTTCCCTTGGTGGCAAAGTCGGAAAGTGGAATCTTCATCATGGACAGCCCTAGATTCGGTCTCCATCTGACGGTAGAAAGGGGAGGAGTTGAGCTTGATTACTGTGTTTGAGCGCTTGCAGAAAACCTTTCCTGCGACCTGTAATCTGAGACAGTTCTCTTCATGATTTCACACGAGTGAGCCGTGAGGCACACCTGAATGGGATAGGATGGGACTTCCCGTCACCCTGCAGCTGACGGGAGGCCGCATATATCCTCGGAAAACGAGAAGCGAGCTCTCACCGGCCGCCATAGTCAGGCGCCAGCTGTCGTGCCAAGTCGACAACCCAGCCGGTGGATCGAGTTAAGATTGGAGCGGCCAAATGAACTCGCCGCATGTGTGACGGAGAGGATGCTGCGCTGAAGAGGACGGCAGGGAGTGTCTGCTCCCAAGAAACTAAGCTGCTTGGCTTGCACTGGATGTCACTGTGTCCATTAACATGTTGTCATTGGGATAAAGTTTTGAGGTACAAACCCGAAAATTATAGTCTTATCTCAACTTACATTGGACAAGTACTTGGGCCACTGACGCATTAAAGCGAAGTAAGTAGCGCTGAAGGCTAACCATTCTAGCAGTGGCGGATCAGAACTGGCATGTGAAATGCAAGCGCCGTGAGAACAGTTATTTCGAAATGAAAAATGTCTGCTATTGACGAGCAGCTGTCCGTCCGTCTCGTTTATCAGTCACGGCGGCTTAGTTGGTTAGAGCGCCTGTCTTACGATCCACCAACCCGCGGCAGGGTGGGTTCGAGTCGCGCTCCCTATTTTCCCTTGACAGGTATGGCCTGCGGCTGGTGGCAGCGGTCGCACTAAAGGTCAGTTGACGTCAGAGGGCAGGACGGACAGTGCCGGGCACTGCGGCATGTTAAGCTTTCGCCACAAGATTCTGCCGTTGCCTGGAATTGCGTGATCGGATGGCGGTGCTCAGTGCTCACAGAGCAAGCCCTGCTTAGCGTGAGCACTAATCTCAGAAATCCATCCATTCAAAGAGTTCGGATCAAATTTATTTTAAAAAATTGGGGAAAGGTCTAGAAGCTTAAATTCGACACGCTTAATTTCATGGCTACATATGTACAAAGTAAAGCGTCAACTTGAGAGGTGATGTTCACCTACAATCTCTTAACCGCCGTGACACTCTTCAGTGGGACACACGTGACCACCCAACCATTGGGTGTTCCTTAACGTGGCTCTCGGACCTCAGGTCATGGCCTCCGGCGTCCATCGATTGAAGAGAGGCTTAATGACCTGCAAGGCTGATGTAAACTAACCCAGCGTTAAGAAGAAGCCTTGGCTTCTGTGTCACCTTTATCCATCGCCTCGGGTAGATTTCTCCACCTTCGCTCCAATTGAGTTCTCTTTACCCTCGCCCTATAAGAGTTTTGTTCTCTTTCGCTCTACAGGAATTTTCTTCATCTTCGTCTTTCGACGGGTTGCCTCGGACATTACTGTTTTGTGCGGTAAAAATGGATCGCAAAACATGGTGTTGAGGATCGCATAAGCAATTCCAGACGGCCATAGCAAATTTTGAGTGTTTTTGTTATTGACTTGCGTTGATAAAAAACCGTTAAATATAGACCGCCTTGTCCTGAGGGTTCCTAGAATTGCGGTGCACATTTTCAGGACGAATAAGAGTATGTCCGTCTCGATAATAATGTTAGTTTTTGTTCGTGGATGAAAGCTGATGACAGAGGAATAATATCATAGACTGTAGTACCTCTTCATGTGTGTTTTGTCTGGACGGCTCGAATGAATTGGTACTCCTGTGCTGAAAGTAGTTTTAATATAATATGGTAAAGGCATCTTAGTGGCGGTTTATCTTGAGTATGAACTTTCAATGAAAATTTGTGCCTTCCACTTTTTACATTCGTTTTAAGGGGACGATTTAATCCCCAGGAGCTCGATGACTAGGCCACTCCGACACGCGCCGCCCTCCATCCCGGATGGCAAACCTCGCCGTCACGTGACCTAGACAGCTCCGTGCCGCGGTAACTGATCCAGCAGCGCATCGCTTGTTATGCTCGCGATTACAGTCTGCGCCCTCAGTGCTCCTCACGTACCGTACTTGTGTTTCTTCCCACAAATTGAAGACTACATGTTTTCACGGGCCGCGCAATGCTCTGAAGTCCTGCGTTCGCTAAATGATGTGAATATTCGACAAATTATGAAAATGTATATGCAGTAATCGCGTACCTGTTAGTGTTTGCACTCAGGTTGTACTCACGTGAGCGGTATGTTTGTCTGAGACCGATAGCTGTTGTAAGTGCTGTAGCTGTTAGTGTCTGCACTCCGGTTGTACTCACGTGAGCGGTAGGTTTGTCTGAGGCCGATAGCTGTTGTAAGTGCTGTAGCTGAAAACAAAAAAATAGCATATTAATTCCCGAGTCATGGTGGAAGATTTTATACCTAATCCATCCTTTTTCATTCATAACAAGCAATGGTGCAATCAGGTGTGAGGGAATGGTGCCGCCGATGCTAACAATTATCTGAAACAGATTTGCGTTGCCATTATCAAGCAATTGTGAACTCGGCGATAAAACGCATGCAGTTGATTTACACGTGCTAATTGTCATTTTAAGGAAGATGGAGATCGCGTTTCGCCGTGTGCTCTGCAACTGTCCTGTGACGAGACAGAGCTAATAAAAAACTAGCGTCCTTTATCGCAAGCTACATATCATTGTACCTCATACAATCTGCACGTTGAGAGTCGCGCGATCTGAAAACGGCACCGTGATGTTTACATTGGCTGAATTGGCTATGGTCGACACAGACATGTACACTAGCGGAAGTTTGCCAAATATACCTACTATGGCATGGCTATCATGAAGGGCAAATTATCCGATGGAGTTTTCGCGCGCACATGTGACAAAGTGGGCGGGGAGGGGAGGGAGAGGGGGGGGGGGGACGAATCCTTCACCAGAGGGCCCGTAAATGAGTTTAACCATGGGGCCAATGCTGGTGGGTAGCTCGGTACCGTAATACGGTAAACGTGACATCTTCAAACAGCGAACAAGCCGACTGCCTTCTAAAAAATGGAACCTTAAGTGCAGGGTTGTTGCTTGCCGTTCAGTCGGGGAAAGGGCTTCAGCCTCCCCCCAAAAAACTTTTAAATGAAAGAGGGCCAAATCAGGGGAGAAACCCACTTGTGTCGTCTTTTGGAGTAGGTCAAGCTATTTTCACTGTTCAGCCTGTTTCTTCTCCAATTTTTTTTTTGCGAAGCCACGCCCATGGTCCAGCGTATATGCCTGATGGTATACCACTAGTGTCACCCGCCATAAAGTTGCCTTTCGTGAAGGATACGACAAGCAGACTCACTGTCATAGGATGTTGGTTTAGACCAAATAGAATGAGTACCAGAAGTGAGGAATGCATCTGAATCAAAAAGGTCATGTGCACATTTCAGTGACCGGAAATAATTGCGGTATGGGTGTTATTTGTGGAGTAACTTTAATGTCATGTGATGAGACGAAGCTGAGCATCAAATACGAAATATTGATTACCGGGAAAGCAAAATACCTTGCGGTAAGGCCCTCACCGAACTATGGCGTCAATATTTGTTACGCAATATGCATCAGGCAAATAAATGTGCAAAGGGAACCATTTCATCTGCACACAATTTTAGGGAGCAATCAATAACTGCCCGTGACTCAAAAACACAACTGAGCCTTTCGCCCGGCGAGTATTCATTTTCTTGAATCCATCCGCAGCATAACTGCGTAAGATTTGCCAATGCAGCCGTTCTCAGCTTGGGCAGACGAATGTCAGCGCGCCCAAGGTGTTGACAGAAAGCTGCATAGTCACGGTTCATCGGCACAGCGCACAAAATACAAACGCTCGTTGTGGAGCACAGCGCCGACGATATTCTTGACGTGAGCGGATCGTGCTCTGGTGCAAGGAATGCGGCAAAGGCGGCCGCTGGAAGGTTCATTTGTGTATAGATTTGTACTAGTTTTTTTTCGTTAAAATATTGGTACCTCACAGGGTGGCTCTTTCCCTGCTGCCTTTCATGTGAATCACTGACAATGTGAATCATTGATGAGATGAGTCACTGAATCGCTGATGCTCCTGATGACCACTGTGTGCAATAAATGGTCAAGAGCTGCGCCAATCGAATAGCTCGTACTCGTAAGTGGAGTGAGCGGTATGGGCTGATGTGAGTTGACGTTTGCAGAGCATTTTTCAAACTCCTTTTGTGCTCAAGTCCCTTTAGTATGAGTAGGTGCCTTTACGTAATTTTTGAGTAGAAGGAAATCACGGGCACAAATCCGTTGATCGCCAAGCTAGCAGAAAATGCATTGGAAACATATACACACCTCTCAACAAGACGCCTGGGAAAATGTCCCACAGGTCACGGGCGCTCTCTCCATCGCTGTAACTGTCCGTAAACAGGCGAGCCGAAAGTATTGCTCTACGATTAGTGCAAGGACGCAATATTATTGATCGTCACTTAACATCTGTACGAGCACTATTTACGAAAAAGCTGAAATGTATCGGGCGCAGAGGAGGCTGAAAAATACCTTCCAAATTATCTTTTCCACTTACATAAGACTGTGATTCAACGAGGAAGGAAGTGTAAATCTAGGATTACAAGCGGACAGGCTGGAACATGACGTAGAACACGGATAGGAGAGAACAGCGACGTTGGAGTTGTAAAGAAAGCTCAAGGCAATCCAAGCTCCATGGAGAGCATTTCTAAGACTTTTCATGCGTTTCATGACCAAGCGCATGAAACCCTTTAAAAACCAACTTTCTATCTCCATTTCTACGGTCTATTCTCGGAGCTAAATGCAACCGCAACTGCTTGCCAATGAAGGCACACAAAATAAACACCCGATATATGATTCATTAATCATTCAGTTGTCCTATATTCTAAAGCAGCCTTTAAAGAATGTGGCTCGCTCAGATCAGAATGCCAAAATTCACCGCCACGCAGGACGTCAGCTTTTGCATACACAAGCATTTCTAGATGACACCCGTCACACTCACCTGTTTTTGGTGTAATCATCGGCATCGTACAGGAGCGACATGGCTCCTGACTTTTCCCCGCGAGAACCCGGGGGTGACAGCTCCACGCCTTCTCCGAGAAGGGCGGAGGCGTCGGCCCACTTGGGGCAAGACGCCGCAAATCACTGACGGTTCTCAAAGCCCAACTGAGGGCCTGCCACCGTGTCATTGAGGAACGCCGACTGAAAAGGCCCGCCGTAGCCGCATACAATCGCGGCCCAATAATCAGAGCGGCCGTGCTGCTAGAGGTCGGCATGGTCCGTGGGGGAAACCAACAACCAGAAAGCCATGAAAGCTGTTGCGTTCATTCAATATGCATTATGGTGTTTCGGCCAATGTGGTCTGCGACATCTTGCATGCGATATCAAGAGTGGCACATTAACGACATGAGGCTTTCTCTAAATAAGTCACGCGCGTTCTTCAGTTTGGGATAATTAAAGTGATTGAGCTGTAGCCACCACATTGAGGACCTTGTTGATAAAATTTGCAACACATGTCTTTAGTATGCATTCCTGACCTCAAAAGCGACAAAATTGTAAAACTATTTACAATGGGTGACGCCGAAATACATGCTACGATCAGTTTTTACGCTGACATCAATTTCTACGGAATTTTTGCATGGCTATTATATATATATATATATATATATATATATATATATATATATACAAGGTATATATTTTATTGCCAATACCTTGGTAAAAAAAACCGCGAACCTGCTCCTTGATGAACATCGTCGCGCTAGTGCGAGTATGAAGCAATGCCAACACAAATAAGCACAGGTCTGCCCCTATTCAGGGGAGCAAAGTGATCATGCACTGCCACGCGGGGTCTCTGTCGATGGCACTACAACGCAGTCGAGCAAAGGCATGAATGATAACCGGGACAGTGTTACTCCATGCGGAGAGCACTCGCATCCACAGGAGCCGTTAAGCACGGTTTGGGTCTGGCTTCCTTGTACAAATTTCAGTTCCGTAGTCCCGTAAGCCCCCCCCCCCTCCGCCCCTTCCTCCGTTGCCTCCGTGGAGGTCGGCCGAACTGCTTTCGACGCTAAATGAACTGAGCTGCTGAAGAAGTGTTAACCCCAATCCAACGGCATGGGTCATCAGCTTGAATATAAGCGCATTGCACTGCGTTGTAAGTGTCGCGCCGAAGAATGAGAACAGCACGCCTGTGCGGATGACGTCATCTGTCAAATCGCGCAGAGACCGCAGGCAGCCCTGCATCCTGTAGTGCTTTGAGACTGCCGCATGAGCACCCTACGCGCATGCGCAGACTGAACTGCATGCCACGTCAATGCGCCTGATGGGAAATGCGTGACAGACACCTCCACCTCTTATGTCTAGTGTCTAACACGAGGGGTTAAGTCGTTGGTTTCGCAGAGGTTGACATCGATTAAGTTTGATTTCTTGTGCAAGGTGTGAAGAGTTCAGTTATCGTCGATTGTTTTTCCTGTTTCGTGCAGCCGTCCCTTCGAATCCGTAAGGTACACACACAGCCTTCAGCAACACTGCCGGGCCTTAAACCCATACTCTGTCAGCCTTGAGCCACACTTTATCGCCTTTAGCGTTCACTTCTACCCAACACAAGCACCAAAAACACCAAACACCAAACATGCTGCCCGAGTCCCCATCCCCATCGCGCCGGGACCCACCCCCGCCGTTGGGCCCACGCTCCCCCGTCACCCGAGCTGCCGGACGGACCATCGTTTCTCTTAATAGAAAATAGTGACGGAAAAAACTTTGCCACCCTTAACCAATTCGCGATCCGCCCCGCTAAATAGAGCGCAACGTTGGAGAGGTGGAGGGGGCCAAACCCCTTCACTCGGCAGCTCTATTGATAAAAGTCCACGGCGCCCATCAGGCGTTCGCGCTTCTAAGGCTGAATTGCTTTCTGGTGCGAGACGTCATAGTTGTGATGGCAGACCGCCTGAACAGTGTTCAGGCGGTCGTGTACGTCCCGGCCCTTGCCGAGATGTCCGAGGAGAACATTCTCGGCGAGTGTCTAGCCCAGGGCGTAACGGAGGTGGTGCGCCTGCCGTCGCGCCGTCCGGAGCTTGGGCCCAACCCCTGTTCCGATTGCGTTTCCGGGGCACGGCCCTTCCGCCGGGTACATGCGGGTACATTCGTAAAAAAGCCAAATGCCAAAAGCCAAAAGCCAAAAAGCCAAATGCCTCTCAGATCATCATGCAGTACACGCATCAGAATTAGTGGTAATCTTTTCAACACTTTGCCATGTTAAAGAAACATGCCATCAAAACAAACTGTAATTTGCACCGATTCCAGCTCTTCTCTGCACGCCATATCAGCTATACACAATTCCTCGCGCCCTTTTATTTACAAAATCCTCTCCACACTGTCATCACTACCAGCGGAGTCACACGTTATCTTCCTCTGGATACCAGGCCATGCGGGCATCCAGGGGAACGACCTCGCCGACGCTGCTGCAAAAGAAAGCATCACCATGCCAGCCCGAAACCATCTTGCCTGTCCCAGTACCAGACTATCTCACTGTTATAAACTCAACATATCGCTGCTTTTTACAACGCGAATGGGACGAACACGGCCGCCAACACATGCACAATATCAAGCCAACACTCTCACCCTTGAGCTCAGGCAACCAGAAAACGCGCCTTAAGGAGATACTTCTCGCTAGGCTGCGAATAGCCCACACAAAACTAACTCATGCATGCATCATAGAACGCAACCCACGACCACTCTGTCACTACTGCCACACACCATACACGATAGCACATTTCATGCTGGCGTGCCCAGTCTACAGGCGCTGCCGTGAAAAACTCGTGCAGTACACAAACAAACACAGACTCCTATTGACGCTGCCTACGATACTGGGCGACACACATCCTGAACTCTTGACGCTCCTCCTCGAATGCCTACACAAAAACAATTTAGATAATTACATGTAACAACGTAAATGTTGCGAGGTTTTCACCTGCTCCTCTGCCAACGAGCAGGTTTTTCTCATCGCCGTGAAATTTTTTTCACGCACAACTCGGCCAAAACGTGCTGGTTTTCCTCAATTGCAAAGGGTGTTTTCCAAGCACAATTCGACATAAACGTGCTGGTTTTTCCCATAGGTTTAGGAGTCCAGTTTTTTGTGGTTAGGACTTTTTCCGGATTACACTACACAACACGGCAAGGTCGCACCGGGCCGCTTCCCCCATTCAGTGTGGGAGAGCGACCCAGTTCAGGTCGCTGACGGACTTGACCGCCGAGCCGGGGGCCCGCCGTTTGCCGTGCGGGAAACCTTTGCTGCGATGAGGTGGTCGTCCGCCATCCAAACGTATTGCGTTTGTTGAACACAATCAATGTGTGTGTGTCTCGTGTTTTACTTTGCATTTGCTACCGGACGAAATTAGCCGGTTTAACGTCGTATCGAGCGCGTTTTCTTGCTTTGATACCAGGCAGCATTACCCGGTTTAACGTGACATAGCTTACCTCTGTCCCTTGCTTTGCGCCTGATATCACAAGCTGGCTTAAGGTAGCCTTTTGCCTGGCCTTAAGCCAGAAGTTCCCCAGCCCCGGCTACGACTAGGTCGCCGCGGCAAAAAACAAAACAAAAACAGACACCTTACGGCGCACGCTTCTGCGGCGTTTTGACGATATTGGTGTTCGTCGGCTCCGCAGCGGGCTGCTCCGAACGAACCTACCCTCAGCCCTGCCCAGTGACGCCCCGGCCCCACGTCAGAGGCCCAGCCGAGAGAGCGCTGCCCAGACGCCGCCGTCAGGGCATTGTCTGCACAGTGGGATGGTGCGCAACGGGCCGTGCAGAGCTCTATTCCAGACCCAACTGGCTGTGGTGCCGTCTCTATGTTACGGACTGTTTGCCGTCGTATTACCAAGGCAAAGCTCCACTTACCTGCAGTGCCGACCTCATTCTGCCGTGTTCCTGCGCGGACGTAGATTAGGCGTTATGAGACACGATGTACGCTATCGATTTGTGGTGCAACTGATTTCAGGCCATCCGGGTAGTGTAGGCGGCAAGGAAACACCATAATTCTGCGCCACTGTCGGGTGATTGCGGTCATCATCGATTCCATAAGGGTGTACTGTGTTTGCCCTCTCGCCTGCATCAACTTATCCGTGAATCTTTAAGGTAAAATATACTCTCGGTTTCCTCACTGTTTCGCGTTTTATGAGGGATATTGCAATAGGTGCATCAACACAAAGTTTCATGAAATGGACGCTTCCGCACCAACCACAGATTCCAGTCGCCGTCTAAAGGCGTAATGGAGCAGCGCTGTCTTGACCAGGAATGCAGTCACTAATTGCATAGAACTGGTCCGTGAAATAAACTGACTGAACCGCTCGAAAAAATGCATCTTTTTTATAAAACTATAGCCAGCTCAGCACGACTGAAGCTTATGAACTTCCTTGTAGATCGTGACGGAAAAATGTTTTCAGGTGATTTTGTTTCAAGTATTTCTCAGCCTGTCCCCGTTATTCTTCAGCCGTTGCTTCTCAATTGCCTGTAACGCAGACATTAAATTGGCAGCACTGGCAACACCGTATCGCATTTCGAGGCCTACCAAAAATGATTTACTTAGTGCTATCAAGACCTGTCGTACCGGCAACATTGGCTTACAGTCCGGACAAGTGCTTTGCGAATTCATGTCGCAGTGCATTCCATGGATGCCAGGCATACTTCCCCCACTCCCATTTGATAAGTTCGAGTGAAGGAAGAGCTGTAATATGAAGTCTGGAGAAGCAATTCTCTCAGACGTGGCACGCATCTTCTCATGTGCACAAACTACGAAAAGAAAGTGCCAGACACCTCTAGTATATTCAGTCCATTGCAAAACAAAACAATCACGATAACAGCCCCCAAATCTGTCCCCTCGGTTTCGACAGCAATACTCCACTTATCACAAGCGTTCGCCAAGCATTCGCCGCTTCGAACGGCTGTTTGGACCGCGCGCCCGCTCGGTAAAGCGCAGTACAGCCGCTGCAGGGGAGTTCAATCCTTCAGAACATGCGCGACGTTCTGGCGCCGACTGGGACTGGCGGGTCGAGGTCGACCGGCCCGCTGGCGCCGCCGCGGGTTGGTGACCCCTGGCTTGACTGCTGACCCTCGACCGGGGGTCGGTCATCATCCTCGGGGGCAGAGCCCTGGGCAGCGGCCGAGAAGTACGGGATCGCGCCGTAGTGACTAGGGTACTGCGGGTACGGAGAGGGGTAGTAGGGTGGGTAGGAAGGGTAGGGCGAGTACGAAGGATACGAGGGATAATGAGGATATGAAGGATACGAGGGGTACGAAGGATAAGTGGAATACGAGGGGTGGTGGGACTGGTACGGGGTCTTGTACGACGGATATGACGAATACCCTCCTCCATAGCCCGAGGAATAGCCAGAGTAATGATCAGAATACCCCGAGGGATAGTAGCCGTGATCATTTGAATAACCCGACGAATAGCTTGGGAAGGGTGTCTGATAAGTCGAATACCCTCCGTACGAGGAGTGGCCGCCACCATACGGCGCGTCCCCGCCGTACCCAGAGAACGAGTGGTACGGCTCGTGATACGGCTTAGGGTACGGCTCGTGATACGGCTTAGGGTACGGCTTGGGGTACGGCTTGTGGTACGGCTTGGGGTACGGCTTGGGGTACGGCGAGTGCGGTGGATAGCCAGGTGGGTGGTGGTGCGGAGGCGGCGGGCAGTACGGCCCGTGGCAGCCGTGCGCTTCCTTGTGAATAAACTCCTTTTTGCAGCAGATTTTGTTGTAGCCACAGCTGGACGAGGAGCGCCCCTCACCGAACCTGGAGGAGCGCAACATACACGGCGTCGGACAGGAGTCAAAAGAAGCGTGAATGACAAGGACAACACGCAAGGCTATCGTAAGACAGGCACCGACCGTGCCGGGTGAAGGAGCTGCCTACGTCATGCTGCAGCCATCCGCGAGCATCCACATGATAGTGATATCAGAAGCATGACGAGGAAGAGCCCAAGAAACACTACGCGGTGTGCTGCACGGTGGCGTCTGAGCGGGACGAGCGGAGCCGGCCCGCGGCACACTCACTGGGCGGAGCGAGGGTGAACGGGCCCGGTCTGGCCGGACCGGCCGTAAGGCGGGCACGAGTACTCGTCGACGCACACCGTGCCGTACGGACACTCCTACCGAAAGGAGGAGTCAGAACAGTGTGGTAATAAATGTAATAATAGGGTAAGAACCGATGTAAGCACTGCCATCTGGTGGGAAATGGCATGGGGCAAAACTGGCAATGGGCTGTGACGTGGCACCGGGAGGCATGAACCTGCACGGTTAAAACTCGACAAACCCGCCCGACGCGGATAAAGCCGACAGACGTCAGCGCATGTAAATTGTAACGAGCATCAAGAGTACAACAGCACACTCCTGCTACAAGCATCACGAGCGACAAGAGGCGTCACAACGGACTAGGAACGTTCACGGTGAACTTGGGACACCACAGTAAAACGTCACGGCAGGCTAGAAACGTCACGGCAGACTAAAAACGTCACGGCGGACCAGGAACGCCACGGTGAAATAGGAGTCGAACCAAGCACGTCAGCGGACTCGGAATATCAGCGGAGTGGGGATGTCAGAGGGGGAGCGGGGGGGGGGGGGGGGCGGAAGAGTTTGCGAAACATCGCTGTTAACCTTTTCCGCCAGGTGATAGCCAAGCCGAAGATCGGCGAGTGGCAGACTAGGCGGAAAGACATTCCCGTAAAGCGACGTGCCAGGACACTTTCGTGCTCAGAATGAGCGTGCCTGCCATCTGGTGCGAGGGAAATTAACAGTTATGACCCATTGAAGCACAGATGTCTGCTTCCCAGGGCCCCTTTTCACCGTAAGAAATTCATGCAATGCTCACCGTTAGTCATCAAACACTAATTCCGCACAAACGGCTTATCCGGGATGCACGATATAGCTCGACTACCCAAGCAGAGAAACAACATGGAGTGGAGGGTATTAATACCGGCGCGCACAACACAGACCAGCAGTCCACCTCTGTCCTTATGGACCTGGGCTTGGACTGCCGCTGGTCATACAACCCTGATCAGTCATGAAAGACTAACGATTGCATGGAACGTGATGTAGCTGTAATATCGTAGCTGCAATATCCGTACGTTAATCGGCGAGTGGCCGCATGCATGCTGAACACTGCTTGTGAGCTTCCCTAACAAAACTTTACGGATGATCGAATAGGGATGAATCTTGTCAAGACTAAACGCAATTATAAATTTCACGTAATTCGGCTGGTCAGTGGGGAACGCAGAGCTCCCACTCCGTGCAACACTTTCGCTCGGTGGATCACTCAGTCACTTACCTGATAGCTGTCCGAGATGTGCGCGTACGAGTCGCCCAGCGGCCCGAACCCTGCTCCGCCCTGCTGAGAGGAGGCGGTCCCGAGCGCAGCCCCGTGCCCGGAGGAGGCGTGACCCTGGGCGTCGCGTGCCGCCGGCCAGCCGCCGAACGGCGCCCCCGGAGCGAACGGCTGGCCCGCGCATGCGCACAGCGCGGCCGCCAGCAGCGAGCAGAATAGCGGCGCTGGAAGCAGGCCACGAACGGTGATAAATCTCTCTGCCCCGGCTGTGACCTTAGGTCACCGGGGCAAAACAAGCCATGAACGGCAACCGCCAGGAGTGCGGAGGCATCTCAGACCGCGTTCTTGCACGTCGTGAATGTTGCTCAATTGATATGCGCGTCGCGGCGTCGATTGGGACATTAATTATATCACATGGCTGCAAGTACAAGACGGACGCAATTACCAAGGGCAGAAACGGGCTTGGATGTCGGGTCCCTCGCCATTCGCTTTTGCCATCACTGTAGACACGGGACACGAGCAAACATTGACCAACCAGCGTGACCACACGAGCAAAATGATATTCCGACCCGGGTCGGAGCACACTACCACGTCAAAAATTCCAATAAATCATTCATGGAGTGAGTGAGGGATTCCAGACAAATTAGCGCCAAAATACCGCGAACCCGATGACTCCACGTGTTCACGGGCTGGCGGCAAATTCCGTCCCTGGCGTCCGCACCTCTGGCGCCCGGACCCGCCTTCGGCACATGGCTGCGTGGTCGGCTGAAGAAGAAACGGCGGCAGTATGCGCCTCTATGGTGCAGATTTTTCCCACAAATACTGAACAAACCAAATGCATGAGCCCAATACGAACGCTCTTCAAAGGTAAGACTTTTGCGTTTAGCATGCTAGTTAGTGCACACTAGAAGCGGTCGTTGGTCAAAAAAGAGGCAGATACTTGCGGAAGACGCGTTAGTACGGGAAAGCGCTGAAGAGGTGCATCGCAATACAGTACAATTCCAGCTGGTTCGTTCGGCCGAGCCTGGCACATCATAGCTCAGCGGATGAACTGTTGTTTCGACGGAGCTAATCATCATGCTGCCCGATGACAATGCCCATTTCCCAGCGAACTCTTAACCAGCGCAGCGACTTCGTGATTGTTTGTTGAAAAAGCAATTTGGCCAGCGAACCAAGTCAGCAAGAGACACTGATTTAAGGATAGCATAGTTTTTGAGTTTTTGAGTTTTGAATTTCAGAGTTTCTGCTCGGCAACGCACGTGATTATAGATCGGGAATAAAGAAACCAGTTACCGACGAACTGAGCTGGATCAAAAACGCCAGCGATGTCGAGGATGTCGGCGACGCAGCGTGCCAATGCAGGCGGGCCGTTACCGGACGCCACAGCTCGCACTTCTCGCTCGAGAAGCCCGGTGTGAGAAATTAGGTCGTATCTCTATCAAGCAACGACTTATATAACAATTCGGTGTTCCTTCTGGATGATGCGTCACATCAATGTGCTTTGAATGATTAGACATACGCAGCCCTCGTCAATCTACCGTAGTGAATTTGGACACAGGTGGACTTTTGAACTGCATATTCACTGCATGGAACTCAAGCTCAAAAACAAAAAGTGTCTAGTCTACGAATGTATACATATATGCATGGTTTTCTGATCTTTAATCAAAGCATAAATAGTTTGCCATAAGACTTTGATAAGTTTTGCCCAGCAAACCAAATTTCATGTAGCTTGTGTTGTACCCAGTTTTACTTTGGTGGAGGAGGGCACCATGGCCCATTCGTGCAATAGTATAGTTTAAAGTAGCTAACCATCTCATACTGTGTTTAGCTAAGTTACCAGCACTAAGCGTCTGATTGTCCCAGTCAGCTGAGAACTGCGCTACAAAAGCTTTTGCAAATGCTAATTTGGTTTTGAAACATCACGTTCTTACCATCCGCAGACGACTCCCCACCTCAGCGGAACGTACCGTTCATGGCGGCCCTCCGGGCTGGTGAGCGCGAGTCGGCAGAGTGACCGAGAGGGCACGGCGGCGCCTCTGTCCCCGCTGACCCCGCTGACCTCTGCCGGCTTCGCGCCCTGCGGCCGCGTGGTGGCCTCCCGCAGCGGGTGCGTTCGGCCGATGTCGAGGTCATGGTTCTACATCGGTTTTAAAACTATTTTCGGACTCTCTTTCGCTTGCCGTTTTTTTAGCATGATATTCAACGTGTCCGGGCTGTTCCCGTGTAAAATATTCACGCAAACCTCATCATATCCTTAATTTATCCGCAAGTTTAATGTCCAACAAGCGCAGGTCATCTCTCAGCCAATCAGCGCAGAGAGCGTGGCGTCGGGCGGGACAGCCTACCAGGCCAGGCGCTCGCTTCCACCTGACAAGCTCCGTTCACATGGTCGCCCTGGCGCAGAACGGCGATCCAGCAGCACCGAGTGAGGGCAGTGCCGCCACGTCCTCCCCTGAACCGGTGAGCGTCTGAGGTAACCCTGCTTTGGTGTGCATTCGCGTTGATAGTGCTGATCAGATCGGTCAGAAGAATTTCGTTGATGTTATGTGTTCGTGCCATGAATCCTTTTACTTACAATTTGCAAGTTCTTCATTGGGTTTTGTTTGCAGAAAAAAAAACATTGCATTTGTCTCCGGCGTCCCGATTGTTCTCAAGCGCTTGACCGTTTATTTCACACCCTAGATGTGCTGGGTGGGCGTGTAATCTCCGCAGTTAGTTAATCGGGTTAATTAAGATTAAATCGGGGTTAACTGGTTAACTCGCTAATTCTGTCGCACCCCAATATCAAGTTTCACAGGCGGCGTTGTGGTAAAAGACACTCGCTCTGCACTTTTAGCATTCGCATGATCTGAGTTTCCGTCCCTATCGTTCAAATGAGTAGTTGCTGTACCTCGCCACTTTCTTACGAGTGGTGTTCTTCCGCACCGCAGAAAATATGAAGCTTCTGCTGCTCTTGATAGTCTGGTGCGCCGCCGCCCGCGCCGACACTGGTGGGCATGTAGTCTCGCACGGAGGTGAGCTGACCTTGACCCGACTTTCCTCTTTCGTCTCGCACGGAAGTGAGCTGGCCTTGACCCGACCCTCCTCCGCCGTCTCGCACGGAAGTGAGCTGACCTCGACTCGAACCTCCTCTGCCGTCTCGTACGGAGGTGAGCTGACCTTGACCCGACCCTCCTCTGCCGTCTCGCACGGAGGTGAGCTGACCTTGACCCGACCCTCCTCTGCCGTCTCGCGCGGAAGTGAGGTGACCTTGACCCGACCCTCCTCTGCCCTCTCGCACGGAAGTGAGGTGACCTTGACCAGACTCTCCTCTGCCGTCTGGTACGGAGGTGAGCTGACCTTGACCCGACCCTCCTCTGCCGTCTCGCACGGAGGTGAGCTGACCTTGACCCGACCCTCCTCTGCCGTCTCGCACGGAAGTGAGGTGACCTTGACCAGACTCTCCTCTACGGGACTACGAGCTTTCGCTCGGTGTTTTGCGGCGGGTCTGGTGCGGTCAGAGTACCAGGGCTGCGTGGGTGGTTGACCTGGCGCTGATCTGACTTGATCCCAGTCTTGACCGGACGACCTCGGCGTGACCTGACCTATCTGACCTGGCACGTAACGCTACCCCTCCATCGCTCCCCACCTCGCTACGAGAGCGCGGTTTTCACACTGGTTGACCTACGCTTTCGTTATTGTTTTGCGGCCACTTCTGGTGGTGCAGTTTCGCAGTTCGACCAGTTTTCCGGCATTGTTTTACGATCAAGTGCCGAGTTTAGCACTGTGCCACTTATCCCCAGCTACTTCTAGAATGGTAGCAGATTCCTTACCTGACGAGATGAACTATGCTATCTGTTTAAGTCGGTTGCGCTGCACAAAGTAAGCACACAAATTACAAAGTATTGGTCTTTGTTCTAATTATACATTTCATGCTTCCCTCCATGGTGACTGCCACAGAATATTCCCAAAGCTCCCTCGATCGCATGTTTTTGACGGGCACATGCGACTGTTCTTGGTTTGTGGTCCGATTCGTGTATGTTTTCAAAATTGAACCACTTCTATGTGTTTTCCTTGCAAGTCTGGTATTCCGTAAGCCGTTTTTCACAAACGTGATACATTGTGCATTTCTTTTCAAAGAGTGACTTGCTGATATAGGTGCCTTATGTGTGACGCTTTGGCGGTCGCATCTACGAAACAATAGTTTGGCAGTTCTCTTCATGCAGCCGGGGGAGCTCCCCAAAATTGATCGTCGCTGACATATTTTCTGATTTTCTGACGTTGATGCTTCTGTTGCAGGCTATGGCGGCGGATATGGCGGATACGGTGGCCATGGAGGCTATGGTGGATACGGTGGCCATGGAGGCTATGGTGGATACGGTGGCCATGGAGGCTATGGTGGATACGGCGGTTACGGAGGAGGCTATGGCGGATACGGTGGTTACGGAGGAGGCTATGGCGGATACGGTGGTTACGGAGGAGGCTATGGCGGCTACGACTCGGGGTACGGCCACGCTGATTATGGAGGATATGGTTATGGTGGATACGGTGGCGGACATGGTTATGGCGGTAAAGGTCATGGCGGATACGGCTACAGCAGTCCGTACGGTGGATATGGAGGATATGGGGGGCATTGATGTGATAGTCCATTGTAAATACACCGTAGAAACCATGGAATGGCTTTGGAAGGAGAGTTCGACGTTTTAAAAACAATCCTAGTGAGTTTAGCCGTGCAGTTGCATGCAACTCATCGAAACAATTTGCTGGCATTATCGTGGGCCTTAACAGAATGCGATATCTCGCTCGTGTGTCACTCGTAGCATGACTGGGGCGTACTAATTTCATTATCGGTTTTGTTCATTATCGGTTTTGTTCATTATCGGTTTTGTTCTCATTGGGAGGATTGATATAACGAAATTATGCTCGATGACGCTTTGTGCAAATTCCAAATAGCACTGTCCCTAGCCACAATGAAGCTATAGTCTGAAAAATTGAAGCTTTGCTTTGTGGTCGCTGGTCGCAGCAAATGAGCTTTCTTTCCTTCCCGCATGACTCTTTCATGCGACAAAATTGAAGCTTTGCTTTGTGGTCGCTGGTCGCAGCAAATGAGCTTTCTTTCCTTCCCGCATGACTCTTTCATGCGACGACAGTTCACTCCAGCTTCGCGCAGGGCTAAGGTCTTCCATCAATAAGTTTGCTTTCGCACCAGTCCAACATATATTTCGTGCGAGCCGTCCCTCCAAAAACAATGAACGTAAAACATCGACCGTGGACATGCATGTCGCTAGGTGTAGTCAGCACATTGTGCGTTGCTGAGCATGAAACGCGTCGCAAATGGAGGCATAAAACAAAACGTCCGGGCCCGGCGACCAAGAGCCCAACAGCGCTTTAGCGTGTGGTGATCCCCAGGCGTCTTTGCTTATGCGCCTGATTTGCATTGATGTATGATAAAGTAACCTTCATTTTTGTGTAACGAAGGGTGCAGCGGAGCTTTCTTCGGTTTGTAACCGACTGCTCGGCGATTTGGGGGTTGTTGCCGTAGTGATAAATCTCCGTAATGAAAATACGTTAGGTGACATTCATCCGGTAGACTCGAGGGGCTTGCATGATCTCGGGTTTTGTGTGCATTAAGTGAAGTATGCCTACTGTCTGCCAGATTGGCTGATACGACAATAAAAACAGCAACAGCATGACTGAAAAGGCAGTAGATTTTCAGTGCAGAATTTATTCAAACAAATGGGAAACGCAGAGCTTTTGTAACTGCATATAGCTCGCAGAAATAGCATACTCGCCTACACACTCGTTAGTCAAATTACTGCGAAACACCAGCATAGGTGAGCCTTTTCAGTTTTAGCAATTCTGGAAAGTGAGTCGTAAGGTTCCAAATTACTTTTTAGTTGTTTCACGTGACGAAGTTTTCATCTCCCACTGAAAAACTTGCCAACGCGGTTGAACAGCCGACGCTGCTTACTTGAAGTGTTGGCACTCGCTGCCGAAAGCTCCACGTTTGCGACAGAGCTGCGAGCCTTTCCAGCATAGCTTTGGATAATCTCGGGTACTAGTGCCGTTATGTTGTACATGTCTCAGGCAGTAACCAGGCTTCCATGGAGAAAACCCGAACAATCTCTTCAAGCTCAGAATGGACACTTTCTAAGGAATACGAAACAGAAGACAACCCGAGGGAAGACGTGCATGCTGTACACACACGCACTGGGATATGCGTCTCGTATCACACGATCCGTTCGGCCTGCTGTATTCATCTGACTGACTTTGGCTCGTGCACTTGAGCTCATTAGCATGTTGCGGCTGAGGACGTCGAGCCGCTCACTCCAGCCGCCGGCCGATCGCCCAGATATTTCAGAGGTAAGCGCACCGACCAGAATACAGCTATAAATCCGACTGCAGGAAGGAAGCCTGAGCTCGGAAGCACTTTCAGTGTGTGAATTGTCTCAGTTCGCTTCATGGGCTGGGACAGTTCATGAAATGAGACGAGCGCCTAAGCCTGGGCTGGAAATAATCGCTGGGCTACGGGCTGAGTAACCGCAAGCGCGAGCCCGAAAGGAAACTGAATCGAAATCCCCAGACCGGGCCTGGACCAGGCTCAGGCCCGCCACTAGCAGAACTCCAGTAATGTCTCCAGGTCGCAGTTTTGGCGGCAGCAGGCATCCGCCAGCCGAAGTACCTCCTCGCTCCTCCTCGGACGGGCAGCGAACGCTGACAGCACCCGACCAGAAACCTCGGTGTTGCGCTTCTTGGCGAGGCTGTTGTAATTCGGCTGAGCCGCCGCACGCTGGGACATCTGTCGGCCATTTGACGAAGCCAAGCCTTGTGGTGCGGACGCTGGGTAGTCAATGGCGTTTTGCTGTTGAGGCATGCGATCTGTTGAAAAATGCAAATTTTTTTGTCAGGCCAGAACCAGCACTTTGAGAGCATCACACAGCAACGAAGTATCAGCGAAACGCCGCGTCAGAACATAAGACTCACGGGCGGTGAACGAGGAGGGGTAAAAAGCAGAAAGGCAGGCGCTCTCCGCAATTTCGCGAGAAATAACGCTAGGCCTGTGACACTGG